AAAAAATGTTCAGGATCACTAGCCATCAGGGAAATGCAAATCAAAACCACAATGAGGTTTCACCTCACCCTGGTTAGAATGACTCACATTCAGAAATCAACTAACAACAGATGCTGGAGAGGATGTGGGGGAAAAGGGACACTAACCCACTGTTGGTGGGAATGCAAACTGGTCAAGCCACTATGGAAGTCAGTCTGGAGATTCCTCAGAAACCCAAATATAACCTTACCATACAACCCAGCCATCCCACTCTTTGGAATGTACCCAAAGGAAATTAAATTGGCAAACAAAAAAGCGGTCTTCACCTTAATGTTTAGTGCAGCTCAATTCACAATAGCTAAGACCTGCAATCAACACAAATGCCCATCAACAGTAGACTGGATAAAGAAATTATGGGACATGTACTCTATAGAATACCATACAGCAGTCAAAAACAATGAAATCCGGTCATTTGCAACAAAATGGAGGAATCTGGAAAACATCATGCCAAGTGAACTAAGCCAGTCTCAAAAGGACAAAAAACATATGTTCTCCCTGATCAGTGATACCTAACCAAGCACCAAAAAGGAAACCTATTGAAGTGAAATGGACACTACGAGAAACAGTAACTTGATCAGCCTGTGCCCTGACTGTTGATGAACAACTTAATGCTTCATCCCTTTTAGTATTTTTTTTTTTGTTCTACTTAATACTATTGGTTGAACTCTGTAATTAATACACAATTAACCTTATTATTTGGAAAAAATGAGTGTCTCTCGTGTTGAATAAACAAACAAGTGTTGAAACTTAACTGAAAAATGATCCCTGTTAAATATAAGAGTGGGAATAAGAGAGGGAAGAGATGTACAATTTGGGACATGCTCAAGCTGACTTGCCCCAAATGGTAGAGTTAGAAATGTGCCAGGGATTCCAATTCAATCCCATCAAGGTGGCATGTACCAATTCCATCTCACTAGTCCAAGTGATCAATTTCTGTTCACAATTGATCATAATGGTAGGACTGAGAGTCAAAGGGATCACATAAACAAGACCAGTGTCTGCTAATAATAACTGATAGAATTAAAAAGGGAGAGAATGATCCAACATGGGAAGCGGGATACACAGCAGACTCATAGAAGGGCAGGTGTCCTAAACAGCACTCTGGTCTCAGAATTAGCCCTTACGGCATTTGGATCTGGCTGAAAAGCCCATGAGAGTATTTCAGGCATGGAAAGCCAAGACACTGTGGGGGAAAAAAAAAAGTTAAAAAGCCCATTAAAATGTAAGTTGCTTGTGTCACTGTTCACAACGTTTTGAATTGGAGTAGTTTTTAGGGTTGGCAATATTTAGTAAAAATACTATAATTTTAATTTTTCTTACACTTTAAATGCATAAATGATTCTAGGATTAAATCACAAGAAATCACTTTCTCAAACAAGTTTTCATTACAGAGAGCACTAAATTAGAACTTGCATGAGTTTCTCTCTTTTGTGACCCAGCCAGATTCAAAATAGTATGCATTTTAATATTTAATAATGTAAAGGATAATTGCTTCTTCACTACTTGACATTTTGGTTAACAGTCCTTTCTTTCTTCTCCATAAATACCCCTTGTCACTCTCTCTCCATCATGTTGGGAAGCATCAGGTTGTTCATTCATTAAAGAATGCTTCTGGGTGTGCCAAAGAGCCATGAGGGATGCTGGAGACATGCTGTCTTTCCCTAAGGATGAGCCAAGCAACTATTCCCAACTAAATAATGTTCATAATTACAGGGCTAAACTGTTCAATCCATATTGTCCTATTCTCCAAAGGACTAATGGAGGCAATTTATAGTTCTCATCATCTTTATTCACATTTCTAAAAATCCTTTGACCTATATCCTCAATTATTTGAACATTGTACATACACAAGAATAATGAATAAAACAAATAGAAACTTTAAGCACTGTTGGAGTCTCTTTCTTTTTCTTTTCTTTTTCTAAAGGTTTATTTATTTATTTGACAGAGTTCCTGAGAGTCAGCGGGGTGGGGGGGGAATCTTCCATTTGTGGGTGCATTCCCCAGAAGGCCACAATGGCCAGGGCTGAGTGAGCCAGGCTAAAGACAAGATCCAGGAACATCATCAGGGTCTCCCACGTGGATGGCAGGGGCCCAAACACTTGGATCACCTTCCAGTGCTTTTCCAAGGCCATTAGCAGGGAACTGGATTGGAAGTGGAGCAGCCAGGACTTGAATCGACAACCCATATGGGATGATGAAATCACATGTGGTGACTTTACCCACTAAACCACAACACTGGCCCCTAAAGTCATTTTCAACAAGTGTTTATTTTAGGACTCATTACTTGTGAATTGAGTTACTCTGCTGTCATTGATTCATTGTCCTGAAATACTTCTAGTAACTAACTTAAGTTCAATGTACAGATATTAATGCATGATTTCAATTTTTTTATTTTTTATTTTTTTGACAGGCAGAGTTAGACAGTGAGAGAGAGAGACAGAGAGAAAGGTCTTCCTTTTTCCGTTGGTTCACCCCTCAGTGAACCGGTGCGCTGCGGCCGGCGCACCACGCTGATCTGAAGCCAGGAAGGAGCCAGGTGCTTCTCCTGGTCTCCCATGTGGGTGCAGGGCCCAAGCACTTGGGCCATCTTCCACTGCACTCCCAGGCCAAAGCAGAGAGCTGTACAGGAAGAGGAGCAACCGGGACAGAATCCGGTGCCCCGACTGGGACTGGAACCTGGTGTGCTGGTGCCGCAGGAGGAGGATTAGCCTATTGAGTCACGGCGCCAGCTATGATTTCAATTTTAAATATGGAGAAGATTAACCCCCCCCAACATTCATAATGTACTAATATTATTAATAAGCTAAGAGTGAGGGAGAAGTTGATTTTGTTATTATTTAAAGCCAAAGGAAATCATAGAAATAAACTATAAAAAGGATTCTAAATATGCCAATGAAGTTTTTACTATTGGAAGCATAACTCCATTTTCTTTTTATGCAACATCTGAGACTTAATTTTTTGAAACAAAGTGCAGTTTTTAAAAATGAAACAACTCTTGGATGATTATGGCAGAATTTACATTTGCTTAATTTATTTAATAGCATACTAGGTCATGTCAGTACCACCAAAACCTGTCATCTCAAGATTAAGTATAAATTGGATTTGAGTTACATGTCCAAACCAGAATTCTTGTTTTTCTAGGTCAAAAGGTGTCTTTACTGTTTCCTCTTTGTGTTACAGGTGCACCATACTTCACTTAGACTCAAAGCCAATTCCTACTTCTGTCACTAGAATCCATATTTGCCATTAAATTGTATCACTCCTATATCTGCAGCATGAGCCTCTACTGAATGAATCTATTCTTCCTGAACACTCTTGATGTATCTACAATGTTTCTGGCTCTCCAAATTTCTCATTCCCTGAAAGAAACTCTGCTCTGGTTTCCTGTCCAGGACCCCTCCACCACCCTTTTGAATGTTTTAATCCTGATCTTAAATCCCTTTTTGTCACCGGTGTCTCTTCTTCAACCTCCTTTGGGATGTTTTATGACCACTTGAAGTAAATAAGACAGCCTATAGAACAGGTCTCCTTTTATAAAGGATTTTTTTAATACCAGGGTGATAAGTTTCCCTTACTCAATTGACAGTGGAAACAGTAATTTTTTTTCAAAATAGGAGAAACAAAGCAGTGTGAAGACCAGATTTGGAGGGAAGGTGAGAGAGTACATTGTGATAGGTCAGAAAGTAACTGTGATGGTTTAGGAGGAAGGTAATGCAGGCTCAACTTTGCACTGGGAAAAGGAAAAAGAGAGGAATGAAAATGTGTGATAGAGAAAGAATCTGGACTTGTAGCCAGGAATTGTTTAAGGAGAGTGATGGATAAGGAGGAACCACCAGTGCCCATGAGGTTTCTAATCTTTGTGATGTAGGAACAGCAGTTATAGGAACAGATGGAAGATCAGATGTTGGAGGCATCTGGAAGCATAGAGAGACTGGGTTTGTAATTTGTCTCTGGTACTTAATATCATATGATAATAAACAAATGTCTTTTTTGCTTTAATTTGTACATTGTGTTAAACTTACATATCTAAAGAGGACGGACATTTAGCATAGAGGCTGAGATGCCACAGTGGCTGAGGCATCCACATTGTATATCAGAGCGCTTGGTTCAAATCACTGCTCCTCCACTTCCAGTCCAGCTTCCTGCTAATGAGCACCCTGGACATCAGATGACAGCTCAAATACTTGGGTCTCTGCCAACTACGTGGGAGTGCCAGAATGATTTCTGGCCTTCTTGCTTTGTCCTGGCCAAGTCCCCGTTGTTGTAAGCATTTAGAGAGTGATCCAGTTGATGGAAGAACTCTCTGTGTCTCTGCTTTTCAAATGAAAATAAATAAAAATTTCATAAAAATTATATCCCTGGGGCCAGTGCTGTGCCTTAGTGGGTTAAGCTGCTGCCTGCAGCATTGGCATCCCATATGGACGCCAGTTCAAGTCCCAGCTGCTCCACTTCTGATCCGGCCCCCTGCTAGTATGCCTGGGAAAAGAGAGGAAGATGGCCAAAGTGTTTGAGCTCCTGCGTTCATGTGTTTGAGCTCCTGTGTTCATGTGGAAGACCCAGATGAAGTTCCTGTCTCCTGGCTTCAGTCTGGTGCAGCCCTTGCCATTGTGGCCATCTAGGGAGAAAATCAGCAGACAGAGGACTTCTCTCTCTCTGCCTCTGCCTCTCCCTCTCTGTAACACCTCCTTTCAAATAAATAAATAAATCTTAAAAAAAATACTTCCATACAGAGGGCTTTTATGAGGATTGAGAGCTAATGCTAATGCCAGAAGGGTATCTGCCACACAGCAGGTGCTAGGCCAATTAATGGAAGTTATTATGTTTATTATTGTTATTATTATGACTACTATAAGGAAATAAGCATATCCTCGTTGTTAATCATTAATTGGCAACTGTTTACACTAGAATGGACATCATGTAGCATTTATACAAGGTGTTGCCTGGTGACTTGGGGAGCTCACCTGAGTAGCAGTCCATTGGAGGGTAATCGTCATCAAGACAACTTGCCTTTGAGAATAGTCTGCCAGGAAGCTTACTCAGCCTGGTCTGCAGGTCACAGACTTGGTTATGATCTGAAACAACATAGGCAGGCTTCATAAAATGCAAAGGGACATGCAAGAAGACTGGCTAAGGAATACAGGTGAGATTTGCCTGTAGAGGAGTCAAGGAGGGCACATTAATGAGAAGCTCCATTAAGATACGAGGCATGGGATTGAGAGTTGCGGACAAAGAGGATCAACTGGAGCCAGAGCTAGCACTGTAGACAGGGTGTGGTGTGTGAGCTGTTAGCTGGAGAGGTGCGGTCATCGTAAAAGGAGGGAGGGGCCTGGGAAGGGCAGGCAGCAGGAGGGTGGAGACATGGGATGGGCAGGATTGGGAAGGGACAAATGGGAAATTGCTGGGCCAGGTGGGGTGTGGCTCACCCAGTAAATCATTTTCAGTTGCTGAAGTTGGCTTGAGTGCCTTCCTTTATATTGTAGCTTTACTAAAAGGGCCCTGCTGTCTTTCTATGTTGGTTTTAGTCACTCCATTACTCATCCCTGACTGTTGGATGGCTTTTGCTGCTGAAGGAGTGAGTGGTAAGGAGTAACTGACTCTGTTTCGCTTGAGCAAGCACAAGTAGGATTGCACACCTCTGCAACGTGGAGATGGTATCGGGAATGGGACAAACATAATATCAGGGTGGGACAGAATTATTACTTGAATTAATTATATTGCAAAAATGTGTTGCTCATGAAATGATGTGCATGATACATACATAAATATGTATTTGGGTTTTTCTGATAAAAGTATGTTTTGATTCATGATGTTAAATTATAACCTATAGCACTCTATGGTTGGTGTGTAAGCAATGGAAAGGAAGGGGAAAGAGACCCATTGAACAAAAACCATTTGTGACTTTGGTATGAACTAGAACTGGGTTTGAACACCAGTTCTGTCACTTAGCTGTGGAGCCTTGGGTATGCTATTTAACCTCTTTAGTCCTTAGCTTTCCCACTTGTATGAAGCAAAAAGCAATACCTATCAGAGAAGTGTCAAAGATCCTGATATGCAGCGCGGCCAGCACATAGTAGATACTTAATAAAGTACAGCTGTTACTCCTGAAGTTTTACATTAGGTGCTTTTTCTTACACAGTTACTTTCCTTATCCTTATATCCTTATATTGAAGCAGGAATGTGATTCTGGTTTCACAGAGGAAGGGAAAGAGGCTACAGTGGTTAGGTGACTTTGTAGGTAGCACAGCTAACACTAAAGACCAAGTCTTATGGTTTCCGATCCCAGTGTCCTTACCATACACAATGCAGAGACATAACAACGTGGGAATCAAGTCCATCCTTCAGCATTTATCCAGTCTAGTGCCCTCTTTCACAGTGCAAAGCACCACATAGCCTACCTCTATGAAATGGTGTGATGAGGCTGGACTGGGGACAGTCATTGTGGCTTTAGAAGTGTTTTCCAGATCCTCTCAATGCTGTGGCACTGAAATTTCAAGACAATTCCCCTGCTTCACCTGCAGAGAGGAGAGTGCTTCTGAAGACATGTGTATGACAGTTACAGCGAAAGGTGGGAGCAAGTATGGGAATGATGGTGTTAAAGGTGATGAGGCTTTTCTTGCCATCATCTGTAATTGTTCCAAAAATGTACCATTGTCGATTTTTAACCTGTGAAATGGCTATATAGTGACTGTGATGTATGTCTTCCAACAAAAATGGACAAAGGCAAGGATGCCAGGCAGTTTTGTGAAGCCTCTATCGATATAGAAGCATAATATAGTCTAACAAATTTGACATCATGTGGACATTGATGGTTTCTAAATAACTCCGCCACTCCTGTTATGTTGCCATACTGGTTGGAACTCTGTGGTCTTAGAGGAGAACCCAAAATTTTAGTATTAATAGCAAAACACTACACAAGCTGATTCTTTTTTAAAGCTCTTTAATCCTCATTTCTTCTTCCCTACTGCAAATTCCCTGCAGAGGCATGATTAAACTCTTCTTGGTTTCTTATATGCACCCATGTCTTCCTCCTTAGAGTTTTGTGCAGGCTGTTTTCTCGTTTGAAAATACTCTCCGGCCTTTTAACCAGTCTGATCTCCCCCTTACTTGGTAGCTCTTGTCCTTCAGAGAGTAGCTTGAAGGTCACTCCCAACAGCCTGTCTTCCTTACCCATCACCACAGAGCAGTGGTCTTGTGTCCTTGGTGTGTTCCCAAGCCAACGTCCCATTTCCTGCCAGGTGCTGTGCACACGCTATAATCGGCTTACTTATCTGCTCTCTCTTGCAAGACCCCGTTCCTAAAAGCAGGGATCACTTGTCTCCTGTTTTCCATGGTGTGGGTGCCTGACACACAGCAGAGCAGGCTTTCTAAAACTACTTGTGGGATGAATAGATATATGCATAGCAATATGCTTCTACAATTTGTGGAGCCAGTTTTACAGGAAGAAAATGGAGTTTATGAGTAAAGCTTGCCAGTAGATTGTAATTAGTCATAATATTACAATCATGCAAATCATTATCTCTACATTTCTCATTTTTGATTGATAATTATTTTTGCGAGTTCTGTTTGCACCAGTTTATGAACTATGAGCAATACTAAATGTGTCAGTAGATGGCTCCTGTTTATAGGTTATTACAGTAATATGCTAGAAGTAAACAGCTTGATCGGATGTGTTTATTTGAAAAACAATATAATGTGGCAAGGGGATCATTTTATTTTCAAAAAGAGAACGAGAATACAATCGTCTTCTAAGTATAAATTATATTTGTATTTGATCTACATATGATTATATTCAGAAATATTTTTCAAGACAAATTATTATGACACTGATGAAAGTAACTTATGGCTAAAGAATGTTTTTCTTCCCAAATACAGTTTTTCTTATTTGTAGGTAATGCAATTGGAGCAAAGCTTATTTTTACAACAATATATGCAAAATATTAAAATTTCCAATGTCTGAGGCCCATGTTAAGTAAAGCAGGTATTAAATTTCATTTCTATCTTAGAAACCAGCAGGTTTAGGCCTTTAGAACATCAGAACAGAGAGATACAAGCGTTGATTGAATCAGTGTGTCAGAGTGTCCTTCATCCTTGTTTCCATTTTACAGAAAGGAACTTTGAGGCACAAAATAGTTAAGCAGCTGGCTCTAAATTTCAAAGGGAGTTGGTGACAGATTGGCTGAAGCAATCCTGATCTTTCTAACACACCAAGGATGTAGCAACTGCGTTTGTGCTAACTGAGCCCTCGTATCTGAGCCTCAGCTTAGTATTCCACACAGCAGACTGTGCCTGTTTTATTCAAATAAGTACCAGTGTGTTTCTAAGGAAAGCAGGCTATCAGCAATATAGACACTATCAGAATTCAGAACTACCGGGAGCAGACTATCTGGGTTTGAATTTTGGCTTTATCTTGTAATAACTAGATGAAATAAGAAAGTTACTTCACCACTCTGCATTTCAGGTTCCTTGTATTAAATAATTGTTAAAAACTTTACTGAGACCTTCTGATAATTAAATCATGATGTTATATCAAACTGCTTAACTCAATATTGAGTGCATAGGAAATACATCCTTTACTGAGATATTTTTAATATAAAGCTAGGTGAAATATTCAATTTATCTATTATGGATAGATTAAAATAATACTTTATTCAAAAAATAAATAACATATTTACATATGAAATCAACTTATATCTCACATCTGGCCCATTGATTCAGAATCATTGACTGGTTACTGACACTTAATAATCTATCTGTAAAATATACATAAGCATGTTTGCCATCTTTACAATCCTATTTACTTTTGAAAGATAGCAAGTTTAAAAAGTGACACTACAGCATTCTATTTATATTATTGACATGCATGCTTTTTATCTTTGATTTCTTTCACAAAAGATGAAATTAAATAAAAATAAATATTTTTATAATCAATTGATTTGCAAAAAAGATGCCACGAACATGTGATAGGAAAAGAATAGTTTCTTCAATAAATTGTACTGAGAAAACTGGATGTCCACATGCAGAAGAATGTCTTTAAGACCCTCATCACACACCATCCACAAAGGCAACTCAAAATGGATTATAAGTCTCAAATGTGAGACCTGCACCTGTATAGCTTCTAGAAGAAAACATGAGAAAAGCTTCATGACATTGGCCTGGGTAAAGAACTTTTGATTATGACCTGAGTAACAGAGGCAACCAAAGCAAGAGTAAACAAAACTGAGATTCCTTCAAACTAACATGCTTCTGCACAGCAAAGGAAACAATTAACAAAATAAACAACATATGAAACGGAGAAATACATTTGCAAACCCTACATCTGATAAGGGACTAATGTTGAAAATTTTTAATAAATAGAAATAAATAGAAAAAAAAATGGGGCTGGCATTGTGGTGTAGCGGGTTAAACTGCTGCCTGTAATGCCAGCATCCCATGTGGGTGCTGGTTCGAGTCCTGGCTGCGCCACTTCTGATCTAGTGCCCTGCTAATGGCCTGGGAAAAGCAGCAGAAGATGGTCAAGGTATTTGGGCCCCTTCTGCTCATGGGGGAGACCTGGATAAAGCTCCTAGTTACTGGCTTTGGCTTAGCCCAGCCCTGACTGTTGAGGCCATCTGGGAGTGAACCAGGGGATAGGAGATCTCTCTCTCACTCTCTCTCTCTCTCTCTCTGTAACTCTGAGTTTTAAATAAATAAATCTTTAAAAAAATAGAAAAAAATAACTAGCTCTCATAAAAACGACAAAGGATCTGAATAGATGTGTCAAAAGAAGAAATAGAAATAGTCAATAGACATTTAAGAAAATGCTCAGCATCACTAATGGTCAGGGAATGCAGATCACTACTACAATGAGATAACAGCTCACTGCTGGAATGACTGTTCCCAAAACTTCAAAAGATGGGAACTTTGGTGAAGATCTGGAGAAAATGGAACCTTTATACCCTGTTGGTGGGAATGAAAATTAGTATAGCCATTATGGAGAACAGTATGGAAGTTCCTCAAAAAATTAAAACTATATATGCTTTGACAATTCCACTATTAGGAATCAGAAAAATATGAAATCAGTGTGTTGCAAAGG